ACAAGATACACAGTGCTATCTGCAGCAGAATGAGCATGGGCATGACAATCATGTACGGTAGCAGGAATCCACGCTGGTCCTTCGGAACAAAACGCAATAGGTAAACAATTTAATTCGCCGCTGCAGGATATGCCTCGTGGAGGTGGCAGTTTCACCCAATACAGATGTATGAGCTAGACTTATAGTTTTTTCGGCATGGAAGGGAATCCCAGACACACATTCACACACCTGAAAAGGAGAGTGCGCAGGCGTGGCATGCATAGTGTGGACCTCTGCACAAAAGAAGTCCACATGTAGGGTGGGATGGCGTAGTGTGGACTCGTCCACACAATGTTTCCCCCATTTCTAAAAAAACAGCTTCAGAGGCATTTTGGGGTCAAGGTTATTTGTGGCAAAATGAAGAGGAACTGTCGAGGGAATCATCATCAAAAACCCATTTCGAAGGAGTTATCCTAGTTAGAGAAAAAGGATCACTTTCCTGAAGTTTCCTTAACCACGGGAGAACAAAGCAATGGCCACACTTTGTATGTAAAACAGGTATGGGTAAAGTGATGGCCGTTTTCTTCCATGGCAACCTCCTTCTCCTGTAGCGCGCGCAACTGTGTTTCCATATTTAATGCTGCTCTTATAGCAGTCAACTAACTTGACGTTATTGAAACTGCTGCATGGCCTCAGCTTTGTCACCGGGCTTTGACTGTTTGCCAGGCAGCGTGAAACCTGATGTCAAAGCCAAACGTGGTCCTTAAATGCACTTTCATCCTACAAATCTTCAGTCATGTTGATGCGATGGTTTTACCTTTGAGACGCCAACGAGGACCAGTATGGAGGAAATCAGAATCAGGGCGAAGAGTGCCACCTCCAAGCAGTATGCGATGAAGAAGTCATCCTCTAGCAATGAATGGGTGACATGAATTTTGTTACTGTCTCTAAAATACATTACTAAAAAAAACCTTTGAGATTGTTGATTGATGACTTGTTGCTAAGGAGAGGCCAATCGAATGAATATTGGATTACATTTATTAGATCAGTAATGACTGATTATCACGAGATAATCGATATGTGCATATTAATAATTAATAGCCCTAAATACCATAGTTCAGGAAGAAATGCCAGAATAAATTAGTCTGTGAACTTGATTCGTTTGAATACACTTGGTGAGCTGTTGAGAGTCGTACTTACTAATGCGTTCACTCAAACCGCAAAAAATAGACAAAATTACTCATGATCTGAACACGTTGGTTGTGCAAGTGGCGATTTGTTCAACGGCAAAGTTCAAGCACCGGAGCTTAACATCAATAGCCACTTAAAGTCTGCACAGTGAGAAATGATAATGTCATAAATGGATAGATACAACTATGCTTACCTTTGGAAATTGAGATCTGCCGTAACGCGTAAGCCAAAACGATGGCCGAATATATCTGTGGTTGGGAGGAAGAACGAGCGATTACACAAACTACAAAATTGGTAATGACCAAGTCTCACTGTGGACGAGTTTCGGGCAATAGTCAGTATCATTTCTGTGACAGTATTTGCATTAAACTCAAACGGTCGTGGATGTTTTGTGATTTTCGGCAAAAGGTTCATTTCAGTATTTGTAATTACATAATACCTGAATATATCCCTTTAATGATTGTTGAGTTAAAGATCACGTGACATGAAATTCGGGCCATTTCATGGCGTGCGCCAACAAAATCAATGCAAATATCGCCACCGTTTTCAGGAAGGGCCGCACATGTCAAAATTGCATTTTTTGGAGTTCAGTTTTGTTCACTATTTTGCTCTTGAACATCGTACGTAACTTTTTTGAAATATTTACTCAGCAAAACAACATAAATGTAAAACGTACATTAATGTTTTGAGGGCCAAAATCTCAAGATATTTTGCGTTTTCACGAAACATTTTCATCAACGTGCATCTTGACTAATATATTTTAGCGAATGAACCATCCTGTTTATTTGAAGTACTTGGTTCAGGCAAAAGTTTAACTCTCAACGAATCACCTGAGGGTTTTTACTGCATGAATTCGTTCCATGATAGTATATTTGCAGTTTGAAAAGAAGAGAACTTTGTCAGGCGATTATACCACGGTTAAGCGGCATAGAGCAGCCTCTCACCAGCACAAAATGGCAGACTGCTGAAGATAGGCACAAACCATCGATCCTACTAACCGATGAGGAAACACCTGATCTTTTCTGTAATTTAACTGCTTCTAATATGAAAAACTGTAATATGCAAATTGAAGGAACAACTGCTGAAACATGGACTGATTTGGAACGTGACAACTTCGTGTCACAATTTGCTGCCGGATTAATATTCACAACAAACATAATTACCTTCCCCCCCTCTAGTGGATTTAGCAAGGTTAGGGTTAACATGTGCTCTTGAAGATACTCTAAATAGCCATCTGGAAATCTCATCTGTGCAACCATATTTGTTTGTGTAAAAAGTTTGGCTCCAAGGATCGATCCTTTACCCTTTGCCCCCCCCAAAAAAAGTGGAAGGAAGACCGAAGTTGTTTTTACGCTGTGCAGGAAATGGCGAGTGGTTTTGTGTGTGTTTCCGTAATTCCGTTCACAGGGGAATAGAAATTGAGCCCTGTAACTAAGGAGAACATTTTTGAAATGTTGGATAATTTAGATTTTTTCTTCGTGTTGTGTGTTACGATCATGCACTTTATGACTGATGCTGATCTGTTCGAAACAAAACGGGAGATTCGCAATAGTGGGCCTCCAAGTGTTTGCAAAGCGTTGACCTGTCAATCACAGTGCGCGAAATCTATCCACCCTTTCCAAACGCGCATTGGGTCGACAGATTTCGCGCTGGTACCCATGATATGTTTTTTGGGTAGGTTACCAGGGAATTCGACTATGATCAATGGTCGCGCTCATATAACAGGCTCGTCCACGCCCCCGCAGCGCATAAGGTAATGCAGGGACCACTAACCTCGTGTGAACTTGTACTCACTGATACCCTACTTTCACATTAAAGTTAACGGAAATAAAGAAAGTGAGGGAACGGTGCCTATTGTCTTCCGAACTTCTGAAACTCGTTTCCTTGGATAAATTCCTCGGTCTCAACATATTTAAAACAGAGGTAAATGTTGCTCTAAACGTTCAGTCTTTTTAATGTCGACCTCTAATCAGCAATTAACTCGCCATTTGAAAGGTGCATCTCCAAAGCGTCAATAATCTTGATTCACACCGTTCAGGGGTGTCTGCAATAATCTTCTTAGAACAAACCTTGAAATGCACATTTGTGTCTCAGTGGACCTTGTTTTCAACATATATTTCACTATTTCAAAGGGTATTTTACAGCCCTTTCAGTTTTTGGTGCCAATGATTATTTCCATATTCATGAGCAAAACTGTGATGTCATCGCAGGAACAAGCCTCAATGTTACCTTGGTCTGTACACAAAAAAGTCCTGCATATTTGTAGATTTTGCTGGCCTCACGGTAGTAAACAAGCTTCAGTCCCTGTCTTTGAAATGTTTGGTAAATGAATTTTTGGTTCACACTTTGAACGGAAGCACCTATGCACTATGTCTTCCCTAGAGGGCTTCACAACAACAGCGACCTCAGTTTTCCGGGAAAGCATGGATAATTTAATTGATTAAACATGCAGGAAAGTAAAATAGTTTTTATATATTGAAAAAGAATACAAAGTTGAAGAAATTAGTATCTAAGAAAAATTTATTGCAGCTACTTTAATAGAAAAATTTCCATTCTATGCAGACAAACCGACAAACAACCAAACTGAATAAAAGCAATTTAAAATCATTCAGTGCAATGCCTCATGTAGGTATAACAGTGGTGTCGCATTGTGGAGGACATAAACTGAAATTTGGAAAACCACGGATGTTTCCTTCATTTTCGCGAGGCTTTCCGAGATTTTCGCGAGAGTGGGACCAATCGGCCTTTTTTTTCCTGTTCAAAAGCAAAATCAATATTCACGCACACCGACGTGTACACACATACATGTAACACTTCAGTAGCACACGTCACAAGAAGCATTTGTGTGGCACTGTAAGCAAAGTTCCGGTATACTATGCACCAGATGTGTTATAAATTTAAAAAATGACTTAAGACTCCTATCCCTTGTTTGGAAAGTATTTAACATGTCTTTTGGGTTGCAGTGTATAAACCTTTTGTACACTCTATTTGTATTCTCAAAGGTAGATGTATTTGTTCAGGCGTAGTTACTGACAAAGTAGCCACTGAGTATTCGATAAGCGATAATAAGCAGTGAAATCCACAACTGAGAATTCATTAGCATCTCTAGTGCTTTCAATTTCCAGTCTGACGTAGTGTGTTATGAGGGATGAATGTATACGCAACATATAATAAATGTGTGCGTAATGTGAGAACAGGACTTACCAGTGTGTATATCGCGGATGCGTTGGATCCCGATCGGACGTTATCAAAACAGCAGCATCTTTGCATGATGGCCATGTTGAGTGTATTTTAGTAATTTCTTCGCTAGTTTTAGACAATTCTCTGTTTATCTGATGGATACGGCTTGCGACCACGGTCAGCACAGGTCCCAGAACTCAGTGTTCAAGGAGGGTTGTGACGCACTAGTCTAAAATGCCAATTAATATTGGGGCGTTGCTTCGGCAAGTTTGCATTGCACGGTCACGTGTAACGTCGGAGAGCGTTTTTATTGGTCGTTGTTAGCTGGCAGGCTGTATTGGAACGTCCGATGACCACCTAACGAGTACGACAGCTATTTTCACAGAGACAATCGGCAGATTGTACCTAACACAGAGGTTACGTATATACAAATGTTGTTTTTGCGGTTTTCCCTTAAAGCAAACTGTGTATGTGTTGATGGTTGATTGTTAGGCAGCGGGGGAGTCTGCGCTCATTGGCGACGCGTACATGTATGTACATGTAGATACATTGTTCAAATGCGGCTCCATGTAACCTGTTGACCGGGTAGGCAGTATTTTCCTGCCAATTGTAACGTTAAACTCAAGCGGTGTAATTTTGTGCGCGTCGATTTCTCTGTGAATCGTTGTCATGGTTGATTGGTAACAAAATTACTGCTGGATTTATTTGGGCAGTTCTTATCGTTTGACATATGGCTTCAAGTAAAACACATTATCCACAGAAGCATTTACCATCACAAAAACGTAAAATACAAGATAAATGATCAAACAAGCATCATAAAAGTAGTTGTGTACTTTCTTGCAAATATATGCTCATTAATGTTACAGAGGAAAATTTTCAGTTGACAAAGCATAGTCACGATTTCTTTTGTACATAATATGCTTAACACACCACTCTACAGTCACAAAACGTGTCTGATACAAAGATAATATGCAATTTTATGATACATTCCACTGAAACTCTATTGATGGACAACGTCAGTTTTAACACCATATAGTTAGAATATCTAGAAGGAAAATTCTCGCTTTTCTCCCATTGTGATCGTTCCTTAAACCGGAGTGATTGTGATTTGTGCACATATTCCTCTTTATAGATCACGACAGAAAAATGACTCTAGATGTGTATTTTAGAAAGAATGAAACGAGTGAATGCGTGTAAGTTCATCATGAGTCAGAATTTTAAGGTATATAAAACAAACTCTGTCACACCTGTGAAGGGATCATTAAATGAAGAAAAGGTAGTTTCACACCTTAAGGTGCCCAACGTTGCCTTGTTCCCCCAAAAGGTTTCACTCGGCCTGAAAATATATGAGTTTAACTTCTGGTGTTTGTCAACTTCATTTTGTTCTTGGCATTTCAGAAATGCTTTATTGGTTTGAAATACTTGTGTGCTGTAGGCAGTGCACACGGACATTTTTAGATTGTGATGAAAATAGCCCTCATCATTACCTTTTTCCCGCCTCCCTCTTTTTGTTTTCTCCCGCCCCTCCCAGCAAGCACCCTCGAACTGGATTGCCGTGATGTAATGGCAGTAAGTCGTAATAGTTGCAGTGTGGAACAACTCAATCGAGTTCTGGGATTAGCAGTAGAGTGCTTTACCCATGAGCTACCCAACCCGCACCGACCATAACCATTGAACTGTGCCTTATTTGCCCTTTTGAATTTCTCAAAAATGAATTTTTTTCCTTACCTTAGGCCTAGTTAGTTTTGATTACTCAACGTAAACGTAGTTCCATGATGCCCCTGAAATCAGTAGTAACAAGAGTAAGAAGACGGTTCCATATTTTAAGTAATGTAACTTTCTTTGAGCTTGTAAAAATTCTCTTCTATCGCCGAGCTTTTAAGTCCATTGCTGCAGCCCCAGGGAACATGGCAGTCACCAGACGAGGGTCAATTAACCATCCCCGAACAGTTATAACAAAAGAAAGCACAAAGAGCTTAGAGAGAGACCGTAGCACACACCAGGTTTTTGTGCATATATATATATGTGGGTTTGTGTGTGGCTGTACATGTGTGTATGTATAAAAGTATGTATATATGTGTGTGTATATATATATGTGTGTGTGTGGGTATATATATATCTATCTATATATCTATATTTATCTTGCACTACTTTGAATGAAAAACGGGGTCAAATTTTTTTGTTCTTTTTTGTTCTCACGCGTTCCGATTTCTGGTTCATTTGGGGGAAATGACGCATCATACAATTCGGAAAGTTACCAACTTGAACAGTTCGCTACCTCGCCAGCTCTTGCGTTTTCGCTTGCCTAATTTGGTTTTTCTTCCGGGTTTATATTTGAGTTTCTCTTCGTTTAAATATACTTTTGGTTTTGATTTGCGTTCTTCAAAGACTGCTTTATGCAGGTGGATACAGTGTATTTGTTTAAAGTGATGACATGGTAAAATGACTAATAAAAAAGGTGAAAATCTGTGTGTTTGTTTTTTACAGGCTACTCCCTCTTTCCTTATTCTAACAGCGAACAGAAGTTACGAAAGGAAATATATAATGCGGTAAATATTTTGACCGTTGTAACAAGAGAGAGATGCCGTTGTGCAAGAAAATCCAACCAGAAATTGTTTTTATCAGATGTCTGTGGGCAACCATCTTCCGTTGTTAATGCACGATGTATTGGAGCCGAGAGGGGTCGAAAGTGGTTAAAATTCATACTTTATAGTGTATGTAAATTAAACATTTTGTTCCGTCCTGAAGATTAACACAACCAAAAATGCTTTATCAGATCAACTCCTTGGGATCGTCGGTTGATTGGTCTACCTGTGGTTACAGGTTGATTTGGCCAGGGATTTTAGTGCAGTGGTTGAGAGGGCGTCGTTTGAGGTATGGCTACTCTCAAATGAACCTCCCAACATTGACGGAACGGAATGTGGTCTGCTCAACCTGTTCTTTGGTAAAATCTTGGGTTTCAGTGTTTGCCTCGGTTTTGAGCTCTGTAAAGATTTCTCTGCCTCGCAGTTCTTCACTTGCATTATTGCAATTTGTCGGGGGGGGGAGACTGATTGTGAGCGACAGTTTCGTCTTGTCCAGTTGGAGACGCAGGGTTCGATTCTGGGGAAGTTGTTTCCATATCATTCAGCAGACTCTGAAAGCACATTTGAGAAATGAAGATGGGATATGTAACAGCAACGAAATGCTGAAGGAGCTTAACTTGCAAAGAGCAAGACTTTACGACTTTACGAATGGGAGCCTGTGTCAAAAACTAATATCCAGTATTATACAACCACCTCAAATTAAATAAACAAGCAAAAACTAGGGAAAATCATCAAGAAGCAATACCGATTTGTTTTTCAGATAGGCCTACGGAGCTTTGCCCCTCACCGACGTACATGTTTTTGTCAGCTGTTAATATTCAGTGCCGTCCGAAGACTTGTGAGAAAAATCCATAACCTCACTCGGGTGGGACTCTAACCCCGATCTCGTGCTTGCTAGTGCAGGCGTGTTTGCCACTCGACCACCGAGTTTGTCAGAGTCGACTGGCCGGTCTGAGTCAATAAATACATTCTCTTCCCGACGCAAAGATCAGATCTTACCAATAATTGTATTATACATTTCGGACATGCTCACCGCTGTACATTTGTCCCTCGGGGTGCAATTTGACCACCCTTTCAAGCTCATGACTAAAAGTTCTCACATAATGATGCTGAAGAATGGCCTTTCGCGCAGACTCCCTTGTCTTTTCTTACTTGTGTTGCAATCGATTCAGTTTTTTCTCCCCCCTCGACGCTAAGATTTACTGCATAAATGACAGCTTTCGGGATTATTATTTTGGTTTGCTGTACCCAGGGATTATAAGATGAGTCGTCCCAACTCCGCCGGGAGACAAAGTCGTCATGGATTTATTGGCTGCTGTTACATCAAGGGAAGTTCTTCATGTCCAAAGTAAAGACAGCGATTCGATCCGGTCTCAAGCGAGGGGCAGATCGGAGGGCGAGCCGCCAGCAAGTAGGGTCGCCGGACCGTCGTGTCCCCAACCCAACCTGTAGTGCAGTCTACAACGTTGGCCGTTGCTACCGCCGTCGGCTCTGTACCGACGCCTTTATCATGCAGCCATAACTCATACCACTGCATCTACGATGCCATTTTAACCTAGTCGCCCTGCTGGGCTATAGGTTCTGATCTGTCCATGAATCCGTCTTATCAAGCAGTCAACTAAAGTCAGCCGTTCAAGGCAACGACGGTTCGCCATGCTATGTGCCCTGCCTCATTTGGGGCGGACCTTGCAACATGTGGGGCGCAAGACTTGGCATTTTCAGGTCCCCTCCCACGGCTGGGCCTTCCTCCTCGTCCATGGGAACTGGGCCTGTTTCTGCTTTCTACACCCCGCCCCTTTCATGGGGGTTTCGTGCATTTCAGCCTTGGTGCCGTTCAACAGCATGCAACCGAGTGAGAATCCTCCCGTCGTTTCTACCAATTGCCTCCAAACCGCCACACCGGGAAGCGGCCATAGTGGTAATCATGCGAGGATAAGACGGCCGCCGCGTATATGAACTGGTAAGCAGCGGTGACTACGAAGAGACCTTAATGTCTGGTTTTTCATTTGGTTCACTGCAAACTCCTTATGTATTTTCGGACAAAAATAGTGATCTCTTGGTGGGAAGATCTCAGGACCTAATGATGAATTCAAAGAGGACTTATGCGCCTACATCGTTTCGGAGGAGGAAGAGAAGCTTTCTCTCCCCCGAGGTACCGGCTGGTCCGAATAAACTATTTAGTCAAGCTAATTCTGCTCCTGTGACTATCGACACTATAGTATACATGTAGAAAGGTTCCCAATAACCAGTTGCTGAGGGCGTCCGTGTCTCTTCCACTTCTCTGTGGCATTGTACGTGTAGTTGACGTGGAGTGTCCCCCCAGGTCTCCAGGGACATGCTCATGACCTCGCCCCAGGTGTATTTTTGAAGGCTTAGCCAGTCAGTCTTTAGCCACTTCCAGACGAAACACTTTATTTGATGCGATGGTTGGTTACAAAAAAAAGGGACACTCTGAAGGATTCGTCGTTGGAGATTCTTCCGTCAACATCGAGAGCGCAAAGAAGGTAAATAATTAAGATCGCATCTCAACCCACGGGCTGAGTGGCACCCGCATTCAAGAACAAGTGATTTAGACCGTACCAGAGTGCAGCCAGATCCACTGGGTTTTGACTGTTTTCCCACTCTGCAGGGGCGTGGAGAGAGACTGCCCTTTCTCACAGAGGTTCCAGTGGTCAAGGTTTCTTAAGTCAGTCCAGATCTAGAGCCTCCAAGCAGCCTGGCAACCCTCATACGGGTAAAAAAAACCCTAACCACTTTTATGTGGGTAGGTGGCCTGGCGGTTAGGGTTTGTAGCCTCTGATCATAGGGTCGGAGGTTCGAATCCAGCTGGTGGCAGCATATTGCGATCTTGGACAAGTCACCCTGCCCCCATGTGCCTCTGTCCACTCAGGAGTAAAATGGGTACCCGTGAGGGTATAGATTTGGTTATGTTAGCCGTGTGCGCTTGATATGGCAGTATCAGCTAGTATGCTCCCAAGGGAGCTGAGATGGTTTCAGGAATGGTCAGTTGTTGTGAGCCCAATGTGTAGGGATAATGATAATGGTGCGCCTTGAGCGCCCAGCAGGATGGATACGTGCACAATATAAGTACTAATTATTGTTATTAGTATTATCATTACATAAAATCTAACTACTGCATCCTGGTACTACCACTTACTACCGCCCTCAACCGCTTCCTTCGTTTGTTCCCTTTTAGCGACAGTACAAAAGACCAGAACATCAGTTTTAGCCTGCTAAGAACTTGAAGTTCATACTGCTCATAATTTCAAAATTCAGTGAACAGTTATATCTCTTGCATTATCTCAAACCGCGGCTGCAGAGACAGGAGACAAGACGTTGAACAACACCAACGTCAACTCATCAAGGCCTCATTTTTTTCTTTCAACTTGTGTAATCTTTGTGCATACTTTAACTCCCTGAAGCCAACTGCAGCAAATAGGTGCAACCTTTCTTATACCGCAAATGGACAATGCGATAAGACTGGTTGGCATTACTGGAACTTGAAACTACATGAGAGCCCCCAAAAGGTCCATAAATCTGCGTTAGACTCCCTTTACCTCCACCGTGCTCTTGTGGCAATAGGACCGGTCCACCTTTAAAAAAGAGCTTTTTTCCATGACTCCCTTCTCGTCTTATGTTTCACATTTAACAAAAAACATGCAGTGAGCAACCAGCTCAGCAAAAATACAAACAAGATTGAAATACGTCTTTTCATTCGAAGTGATAAGATGGTGGAATTTTTATTGTCTTAGAAAATTCTTTCATCACTACGTTTTAGAGGTTGTGTCTTGTTTTGTCTCACACGGTATAAAAAATACAAGAAAACTGCCCTTCATACTGGTCTACCAACACAATTTTGAACACATCAATTCTATGGTCTAAAAGGACTGTTTAATATGATAAACAAGTGAACAGTAGAACTTACTCCATAATGCAGAAAAGTGTGATGCACAATGTTTATACCGTTAAAACGGATAGAGAATTTTACGAAGAGATATGGAGACACTGCACTCTTCTGCCTTGGATGACATCACACTCTGGCTCATGAATGTGGAATTGTTCATTAGCATCAACCAAAATGTTGAAATTTTAAAAACATTACAATGTTGAAATGTCGCCCTTTGCTGCTTCATAGGCACATTGCGAGAAAGTTTTCCTATACACTGTACATGGATTCAGATTGTTAAGATCCTATTTCTTGTCTCTTTTAAATCGAAGGACAGTTACAGTTTAGGTTATCTTCCGACCAGACAAACTGTTGTGACGAAGGTAGTGCAAAATTTTCTCTTATGGATTGGTAATTATAACACACTATTAAATCGAACAATCACTGCATGTCACAAGTAACTCCAGTTCAATTAATTTCCATGTAAACTCTTTCCTCTGAGTACTACGAAATGAATACATGTAGACTAAAGTGCAGTACAGTCACTAAGGGGATTATTCACGCAAACATACAATTCAGATGCCTTTGAAAAATAAAGTTTGTTTCTCTTAACATAGCAATATACAGGCGATGTATTACAGGTCCAATTTTGTGATATCAAATGGTGATATGTGTGTCGTCCAGATCTGTTCTCTTCTGTCTTCTGTCTTGTATTTTGTGTCCGTGAGCATGTTTATGGTGTAAGTCAAAAAACCTTACGTAGGGAAGTCACAGCTGAAGTGACACGGGATGACAATCAAGGACAATTGGGAAGTCGGGTACAAAAATGGGAACTGTTACGAAAACAGCCCAAAACAAAAATTGTAAACGGCCAATGGGTTATCCTCGATATGTGCCAACCACACAGATGCAAAAGTGTACGTGGACTTAGGAGGAGATATTCTGGCACTCTAAAATCCATACAGTATGCGGTGCTATGATGCAGTTTAGGCCTACACGTATACTGCGTCCTGTGATTTCCATTTACTCGCTACTAAAACTGCCACAGCTAACAGGCTTCGGTGATATTTTGCGCATGCGCATGGAATGCATATTTACAGTTTAACGGCCTTGAATGGAATAATTAAAGAAACATAAGTCAGAGTATTCAATAAAATACACCAATCAGGAGTAAAAAATCAGGTTGTCTGATGATACAAGGCATCTGGTCTAGTAACATAGGGATAGCTTTAATACTTAGGAGTGTCGCCTGGCTGAGGTGGCAAGCTTTGCTGGGGTATGAAGCCGTGTTGCGGAGGGTAGCAAGGAGGATACTCCTGCAGGCGTGAGTAGCTGGTGTGGCCCGGGTATTCATTGTAAGCTGGACTTGGCCCTACGTTGCCTTGTGGGGCGACGGTTTGCTGTGCAGTGATGACAGCGCCACCAACAACACTGGTAGTGGTGACAACGGTAGAGGTCTGGGGGCAGAAATGAAAAACAAAAGAAAGAGAACCTGTCAAACACGAAGTCGGTCTGGTGCTACACCGTGGGCGGGCCACACGCCTCACGCATAGACGCATTCCGACGCAAAGACGCCACACAGTGCACAGCGAAATGAAGATTGGAGGTGCGTTGCTTGCGCGTGAAGCGCCGCGCACACTCGTCAAGTGAAATTTGATGTTCATTTTGCTGACTGCCATAAATAAAGGGGTGGAACTGTTATAGATCATAAAATTTGTTAAATCTCTGGGAATGCTTGTCCTGAGTATAATTCCCGTGATGATGATCCAATTGTCACGCAGGTTTTGCATGCTTGATTAGTTGCTTACGTTTTGTTGAAATCATACACATTTGCTTTTACCCTTACTGCCATTACGTCCTGTCGGCGGCCACGCCCATCCCTCAGCTCCTGGTACTGAGACACTACACAAAAGAAGCACAAGACCTGTAGACGTAAAATTATTAAGAAATTGGTATAATTTGCAGGCCTATCACTTTCCGTTACCTTTCTTTGCGCTAGACCAAGTGTACTTCCCATAAAGATTTCACAGCATTCTTGAGCCTTCCTCCATTTTTCTTCGGGGCTTTAACACTCCCATGATGAAAAAGTCAATATGTCACTTAGTCTATATGTAGTCCTACCAGTCCACCAAATAATCTGTCGAGGGTCATTCAGTCAGGGATCGCCCTTCCCTCATTCGTCACTCAACCGGTCATCGATTCAATCATCAGTCAAACATTCAATCAACCAAACGATCAAACCAACTCAATTTTCAACCAGCTAAACAGAAGAGCAGGCCAAGTCAGGCGGTTAATCGGTTCATCAATAGACCTCTTTCTTTGTACGTCGCAGACGTGTGTTTGCTTTCATTTTACGGCAAAGTTTAGACTGGCTGTCCGTACAAAAGCAAGATAATAATTCACAAAGTTTTGCTATCGAAGCAGCTAATGAATACTGTTAATACTAAAGGCCAAATGAAAATGCGGCCCTTATCTTGGGGACTGAAAAATGTACATGTAACGTTTTGAGGCAAAACCTGACACCAACTAATATTGATATTTCTGCACACTTTGGCCGCCGATAGCAGGCAATATGAGCGAGATCTATTGAAAAACTAAATGATCGAGTCAATCAAAATGATCGATTGAGTGACCAACCCTCTGGTTGTTGGTCGATGAGTTGGTCAGTCATCAGTCAGTCGTTCACAGATCATTTAATCCATTGATAATAATAATCTAATAACAATTACAACATTCATAATGCGCTTTCCACAACGTTTTAAAGCGCCATTATCATCCCCGCACATTGGGCTCACACATCATTTCAACATACCTGAAACCATCTCAGCTCCCTGGGGAGTATACTACCCTAGAGGCACATAGGAGTAAAGTGACTTGCCCAAGATCACAACATGCTGCCATCAGCTGGTTTCCAACCCCTAACCTTACTTCAGAAGCTACAAACCCTAACCACTAGGCCGCATGCCTCCGCAGGCGAGTAGTTATTCGATTGAGTACGGTCATCAGTAATGCAATGAAATAAATTCACGGGATGAATTTTATAATGATTTTATAATTTCGTGATGGTTGGATTGAAGACAAATATTTCAACGATTGCTGCCTTTTTTTGTTTGCTATACTCACATCCAACGCTGTTAACAGGATGGCTAAGATGAGTTGCACGACTCCAACAGTAGTACCTTCTGCAACATAGAGGCTATGATAGTCGATGTAGGAGCTAGCCTGTCCAGTGGAAATTTAGAAACCCATATATCTCAGGATTGGCGCATACTCATTGCTGCGCTGGTGCGTAAAACACCAGTCCAAGGGCAATGGAGAACAATACAGGGTGTCCCAGAAAAAAAAAACCAAATCGTGAGGAAAGTGGTTCTTGACAGAGGACAACCTCATTCACTGGTTTATCCAAAGGGTTACAACTGAGTTTGGATGCCCCATTTTCAAGACAATGGTGTTCAGTCATGCGTGACAGGAGGGATACCATCAAGGTAACACCAGAAAGAATACTGCTTCTACTTTTCAGAGATCCTTATACATTATAATCACATCTCATGGTTTGGGCATTTTAACCCCTTTCCTCAGGGTTTGGTATTTTCTTGGACACTCTGTAAAGTAAAACCATCAAAACCTGAACCACAGGACCGTCGCAAGTACGGACCGGAAAGGTGTGCACGCTCAAAACTCGGACAAATCTGATGACATGCCACCGGAAGTTTACGCGAGAGCAACATTGTTACATGATTGGGAACGGAAGCCCCATAGAAACAGAGAGCCATACGAACAAGGAATAAGAACACAAAAGAATGTGTTCGTATTCCTCCATGGTGACACAGACTGGCCACCGTGTGCGCGTCTCAAGTCCATTTGATAGTCAAGTGAACCAGTCAAATGAAGAGGGTACCAGGTGGGCTTCCTGAGTTGACATGCGGACGGTGGGGCTGGCCAAACTTAGGTGCACTTGTAAGTAAACTGTGCGCGCGAAAGTCACCCCGGGTTGTCTGCATGAGCAGGCCCGCTATCCCCTTCCCACCACTTACATAGTCTCATTGATGTCGGTATATCGAACCATAGGGTTTTAAGGACCAACTCTAAAAACACCAGACAACACCACCACCAACAACAAAAGCGCCGGAAGCTGTCAGTACACTCGCACATACTCCAGAGTGAACTCACCACGGTGGTCAAGCCGATGATCAGCAAGATGCACCAAGCTCCCTGCAGCAGGATGAGCAAAGGCATCACCACCATGTATGGGACCAGAAATCCGCGCTGGTCCTTTAAGATGGAAAAAAGCCACGGGGTAATTTCATTGTTAGAGTTGTGCTGACAAGATGCTATGGAATACAACCTCACTCGGTTTACATCTCAAACTTAATGATTTCAATTGAAGAGCCCGAAGGCAACGTTCGCATTAAAAAACAAAATGAAAGGCTTACTTCGCTCTAAATCCAGTTAAAGCAATTCGTGAATAAAGTGTAATTATTTTCCTGGAACCTCTTGATTTTACTCCCCCATGTATTTTTTTTCTCTACGGTCGACTAGTCAGGGCATTGCTTTCCAGCGCAACTGGTTGCGGACAAAAATTCGAAAAGACTGCGAACCGCAAAAAAGATTCTATTCTGCGGAATGATTTGTGGTTTTTTTTTAGTACTCTTTGAAAGCATCGAGTAACGGGCCTTTTAAGCTCATGCTGGAAAAGGGCAAGACCAAACAATTTCAACAAATCCGGCACTGTGAACACGTGTTTTTATACAAAGGCCTATCATTATGTGCTTTGGAACAAGTTGCATGTTTGCAGCGAACCGAAGGATGTATGTAAGACTAGTATACTTAAGTTTTCAATATTCACGGCAGCGTGTCGTGAATTGGCCTGGTATGAATTTGCTCGTCACCGAGCGCCCTAAAACGGGTGCTGGGTGACGAGCGAATGACTTGAACATTATCATTAACAAATCTCAGAAAATCCCCCAAAATTTCAGAAGTTCTATAAAAAGTTATAAATTCTAGTACACCATAATTACCTCTACCCACTTACCGATCTATAAATCGTGAAAAGGGGGGGGGCATCTAAAAGAGTTCATTTGTACTTCGGGAAAAAATCGGAAAATCGGGCCAAAATAAAATTTCATCGGAACTTTATAGCGGTTATATGAAATTGACATTTATGAGTCTGAATATTTTGAGTTGATTAAATTTCACCATTTGTGAGATTGGAGGTAAAATAGTGCTCCATGCACAAACGTTAGAAGCGAAAATTTGAAGGGCCCAACGTTAGGGTACGAGCCTCTTTTGGGTACGAAATCTTTAGGTGTAAGCAGCGCGCGAACGAGTGTTGTTGTTAGACCTAAACTTTTTCCAATCCTTAAAAATAACCAATTTCAGGCGGGATGAATTAGTGTCCTTGCTGGGTGGGCCATGCAGCGGTTTTGTTAACAGTTACCAAATGATCAGTGAAATAACAAACAACATGGATTACGCAACCGTAAAAGACAAAAGCGAACAGACGCACCACACGATTTGTGAGGTGCGAACAGTATTAAGGTGCATTTACAAGTTTATTAAGTCCCTCTGAATTTGGTTTCCTTCATTTCCAACACAAGAGTAGAACCAAAGTAAGTGGCAACCAACGAAAACATGGCTGCCTTGTCCCCATTGATCTCCGGTACAATGCTTGTCTCCGCGACCGGAGCACTGCGCCCCTTGCACGCGTGGATTGCCGCAGAGGCGGCTGCCTGGGCTAGGCTGCGCTGAGGGACTGCGCCGTGTTTAGTGACTGATTTCATTCTTAAAAGGTTGCCGTATAAGCTGTCCGGTGTAAAAGCTGCAGGGACATTTTCAGCGTGAGAATCAACATAATACCGCAGCTTATATTCCGAAAATTACGAAAAATGTATATATATTTTATAAAAAAGAGGGGAACTCAGAACCGAGCGAGGGGTGGGGTGGGGGATTCATTCGACCCACCCCATCCAAGCCTACGGGCCTGCACCTCGGAGACTTACTCTTGAAACGCCGACCAGGGTCAGCATCGAGGAAATTATTATCAGGGAGAAGAATGCCACCGTCACAGCGTAGATGGCAACCACTCCATCCAATAAATACGAGGCTCCTTGTATCGCTGTGGTTAAAAAACAAGCAAACATTATCACTGTGTTAAATATTTGTTCCATTTTCGCCGGAGAAGCTCACATGAAGATTATTTGCGTTCAACTGATGGATGGCTTTAACTTAAGTGTGAATCGCAACCACTGGTTTTTATTCACTTTAGCTTCGAAAAGTGACACCGGTCAAGTTTCTTATCGAGCTCATTTTGATAATGAATTCCATGATTAAATTGCATTCAGTGAGTGCAATGATTCATGTAAAAACTCTCATTATCAGTGTACCTGAAATACAGATGTTACAAGTGGTAAAGCTGATTTCAGTATGCTTTGCCCACAGTTTTTCCTCAGTGTTCCTCAATCAATTTCTCCTCCCATTTGGCATTGGGGATAGCTCCGACACTGCACGGGGTTACATACACTGGCCAGCATAGCCGAGTACGGGTGCCGGCAAACTTGACAGCCTCGCGCGTTAAATATTGTGTATAGTTACGGTGAAATCCCCATGACATTTAAACATGATCCTACCACGCCCTGAAGAAATTGGGAGAGTGTAGCCAATCGTGGGAGATTTTACTAGTCTACAGCGTAGTAAGAACTAAGTGGGAACTAAAAGCAACGTGGAAGATATGCGTCATTCAAATAGTTTTGAGCATGCTCAAAATTTGCATACCCTTTGTTTTTTCTATTTTACTTCAACTCGTTCTGAATGTATATTAATTTTTCCCATTAATTTTAAGGGGGCTGGTGTTTTCATTTCGTAATCAGTAGCATTTTGTTATTTGAGAATAAGGTGGGGAAAAGTGGATAAGTGGGTTTGATATGGCAAACTTTGTCTGGAAAAGATAATCTTTTTCTCAAAGATACGAAGTAATCCATGATTTCCTGATTGAATTGCATCTGTATTGTGTGATGCAGTCTATTCAATTTTTCCAAGTGGCTTAGTGTGATAGTCATTTGTATATCTTTCTTAGGAATCGCGCTCTCGTGCTGATAGACTGAACGAAGCTGTGCTTACCGTCTAAGAGCCAAAGTTGCCTCGCTGCCAAGCTCATAACAAAAGCAGAATAGACCTGTGATGAAATAAGCACATTTTATTTGGAAGTCCATTTTCTTATCCCTAATGTTACATACATAAATTGCACCAGTGTAATATTTTTCACATTCGGAACCTTATACTAGAAGTAGTAAGTTTTTGAATGACAAATACAAGCATGTATGATGCATAGTTGTTTTAACGGCTGGCCAACGTCTGACCAAATCTCAGTTACATTGCACAGTTTCAAATGGGGGAAGGTTCTCAGGACCGCGAAAGCGTGTTTCTGTAAATCTGGATTAAACAAAGCCTGAACAGTTTCTCGATTTTTTTTATTTTGTCTTTAATAGAAAGCATTTTTTAAAAATATCATTTGATTCCGCTTTATCTGTGCTTGTGGTGATCTTTGAAGCGCATCTTCCTCCGGATTGAAACACTATTTAGGCCAGTCAGTCGTAGTTTCCCAGCTCACTTCACGGAACGAGTTTCCAATCTCAGGCTGCACTGTCGTGGACCTGAGTACATCTACGAGTACTTACCAGCGTGCATATCGCTGAGGCGATGGACCCAGATCGAACATTTTCGAAACAGAGGCATTTTATCATGATCGCCATGATGGAAGTCAAGTGAATAATGGCTTGATTGAAACCGAGAAAAACCTCTCGATCCACCCAAATCAATCTGGTTGGAACGTCAAGGGATTCCCGTCTGCTGTGTGGAAAAGTTGTCACAGAACGTTAAATACATGTAGCGTATGTCGTCTTCAACATAACACGGGACGTATCTGTTGCACGCATTACAGTGGCATGTGACGTCACGTTGGGACAAGCAAAGTTGGATTGGTCGAGATAAAACACGTGATACTTGAGTGGTGTTATTTCTACAAGGATTTTGTTTATCTAAATTTGATCCCTCAAGTTGTAATTAATTCTCTCTTCAACAGAAAGTAAGGAGTTCCAATGAAAGGGTTTTCCATCTACGTCTGTTTCACATAGAATTCCAGTATTTTTTAGTTTCAGTTGACATCTAAAGTCAAGATTCGATTTTAAGTGGTGATTGTTGTATAGGAACACGTGACTTGAAAAGCGTCATGACAGATAGAGTCAAATACGTGTACCGAGGTCGCAGTAAATTTTCTGCTCTTAGCTCTTTGCACCCTTGTTGATGAATGGCTGCAGTGGGACGGAGAAGCTACGGTCTGCTGCGTGTGCTAGGTCGCATGATGACGATACGCCGGCAAACCTGAAAATTTTCAACAGCTTTTCATGGGCTGTATTCGCCTTTCTGATGTAAAGTTGAAAGAAATGATGCATAGTGTCGCCTCTCGCTCCCTTGTCACACTCAACAATGCCACATTTTGAAGCGGTTGATTGCCGTCAAGATGGAAACATGTATAAGTTAAACACTCCTCCATTAAGTTATAATTGCTAGACACCTGTCATACGAAATTAAGAGATCACGCTTTAAGACACCGTTGACTTTTGTACCAAGTTTTTATAATTCTACGTTTCAGAAAACGCAAAAGTCAAAACATCTCCGTTGGTTTACTGCTCGATGCAATAATGAAATATAGCAGATCGTCAAAACATTGAAGTACGCAAAGAACTCTGCCGTTTGGAAGTTATTGTTTACCTTGACTCAGTACAAACATGTAATAGAATGTTGTTTTACATTGACTACCTAATAAAGTAACTTTACAGGAGCATGACAAAAGAAAATCCCGTCCCATGACATTTAGAGCATCTGTAAAAAGAACAAATGAAATACAAATTCGGTAAAAAAGTCGAATGGATTCAAGGCAACTCACGACTCGGCGTATGCGTGTATATATAGTATACACGAAAAGATTCTGGGTGAATTTGTACCCGATCAGTCAACTCCATTGTATAGGATTACATGTTTGCAACACTGTGCAAAGCTGCCAACATCCCTTCCAGAACCAAGGGCTACTTTTTTCTGTGGTACACACTCCAGTGATTTTTGGCAGTCGGTTTTATAAGGTGGTCCCTTCAAGCGTTTTTTTTTCATGTTTTTATAGCCAAACGAAGGTTTTTTGTGTAGTAGTTGTATTGGAAGTATGGCGAATACTATAGAGAATAAGTATAGAGCCGGAAGGGCTAAATTGCACAATTGCCCTTTGATTTCTCTGTCAACTTTGGGGCAAAACTGTTAGTAAAAGTATTGCAGTACAGCTTGGTGCAAGGTTCGCTGGTGCTGACTTTTCTGGGTTGTTATATTGGTAATTTTCCTTCACAGACTCATATGTTGTGGCGTTTCATTCCATCTGTTACTCAGCTGTGGGCGAGTAATTAAGGAATTACATACGTCTGTCTGACTTCCCTGTTGCATGTGAAAACCTCCCTATCTTTACACTTAAGCCACTCGTTTCATTTTACTATAAAACCACTTACATGTTGTGGTGAATTAATTGGGCCGCCTCTCTAAACTCTAATACGTAGTCCTGCATACCTGTCATCACTGGGGAACATTTGCTGTTGTATTAGCAGTGATAGGGTTTAACCATTCGCCCCCCCCCCGCATGTCATCATCAAAATAAACAACTGAAAGATGAGCAGTAGATGTGTACCGTACCAAAAGCACCCCATATATCCAAACCTTAATTAGCCTGTGTGTGTTGATGCCAGAATTGTCTTTTAACTTGAATATAAAAGACATGTTCCTCATAACAACTTTAAATGAACTAACAAAATTCATCTCATCCAAAATAAGCTGGTGACAACTACACACACCACGGAACAACACTACATATACCAAGTCATTTGTACGAATTACCCAGTAAATAAATCCAACAAAATACGATCCTCAGTGTAATTAAAAAAACAAGAAAAAATTAAAATTCTTAAAAAAGCAAAAGCAAACGCACTATTTGCTACTTTTGTGTGTTTTCTTTCTGAATGGTTAATCTTGTGAGCAATATTTTTAACAATTTCTTTCAATTTATCTTAAAACTTCTTTATAGCGGTGGATGAATAATGTTCCAGCAGTGTAGCCCACTAGTTCGAACCACATTGCCCCTGAGGGTGGTCTCCAATTTGATGCCTTCATCGATTGCCTAGGCCTAGCTGTCCGCTGGATAAGGATCTTCCTCCTAGTAGGCCGGAGGTTGGTGGGGAAGCTTCATTCCGACCTTTCCCTCGTCTTGGTACAAGGTAAGCATTTCATATCTGGTTTTGGTTACCAAGAAATGAGGTTTGGAAGTTGCTCCTAACCATAATTCTTACAAATGGGTCATTGGGGAGACATTTTGTGGTAAATCTTTAGACGTTTAGGAGACATCAATCATTAGGGAGACATGTCTTTCAAGTAAAAAGTAGACTCATCTTTATCTCACGATTCATCATCCTCAACCTCAGCTTTGGACCCGTATCTACCGCTTTCGAAACCTTCGTTTTCATCCTATACATAGATTCATTTTCGTAGTCGTCAATCCCGATTCAAATCTCCGCTTTTGGAAATGTGTTCAGAATATATACCCACGACAGAATGTCCACAGTGGAAAGCTTAGCTTTTGTTACGCCAGTCACAAGCACAGGGTTTGCCTGAAATGTGACATTATGGCCTTGAAGAATGATCTTTAAATACAAATGTATGCATGAAATGGATGAAATAATTAATTATGTAACATGCCTATCCGCTTATTCCTTTTCATTTCCATACCTCCTTTGCTTATTCACTGATCTGCTTCTTGGTCATTTGTTCATTCCTTTCTCTTCTCACTTAATCTTGCTTTTTCATTGCTTAATGGTGGTTGTTTAGTGCCATTTCCTGTTGTTTGCTGTAGTTTCTTTTTCTCCGACAATTTTCTTCCTGCAATGGACTGATCAGCTAGGGAAGAATTAGGAATTTGATGAAATATCTTCGAGCCCAATAAACAAAGAGTATAGATATGAAAAATAATGCGTAAAATATGTTATGGGAGATGGTCTCAACGATGCGACAACGTCGTAAGTTTGGAACTTCCAAACTGACGTTGTGTCATTAATAACTGCTGTGGAAATGTGAACGAGGCGACATCTAGTGATCATTGCCAGAAAGCGCGACAAGATGCTTTCACCGCGCTTCTAAACAACATTCACCACCAAAAACTTCCTGCGCTGTGATGCAAAGCTTACTTACTGTACGCTTCGGGAAAGCACTCACCGCGCTACTGTACATGTACTGTACATGTACATGTGCATTACGATTCTTAACACAGCATAACGTGGCCAGCTTGGTATTTCAAACCACTCCATAGTGAATAAACTATGCTAGCCATAAAAAGACGAAAAACAACTTAAAGGGTCCAACTTAAAAAAATGACCTCTAAAAATCACTGGAGTGTGTATACTATTACTGACCTCGCGGTCAGTTTACAGAGAATGAAGCCCTTTATCCTGGAAGGGATGTTTGCAACTTCGCACTGTAAGGGGTTGAACACATAGGGATAGCGTTATACATGTAAAAGCGATATTTTTCTTGTTGACTCCCTAATATCTTTGCCTTCAATACTGTAGCGTGCCCTACTGCTCAGGGTTCGACGCTGGTATAGAATCACACACAGCCGCAACTCGCTGTTTCGGTCACAAAATCTGTTTTAATGCTGTCGTCCACGACAATGCGTTTTCAGCTCAGCTCTAAAGCATGGCGCCTGTCGGCAGGGACTGCGCAAGCGCGAGGCGGGAAAACCACGGGCCGTTCGCATACCAGCGCGGGCAGCCAGTCAACTCCATGCGGGTCCGAGCTGGCGCCCCCACCGGCCGGACCCGCCGGCGCTACAATACGTTGAAGTTTTCTGCATTTCACCTCTACCAAACAGCCCAATCGAAGAAACTCTTTGGTTTGAAGTATATAATCATTCAGTACCAAAAATGAGAGATATTGGCCAAGTGTCATCTGATTGGACACAAAATACTCTTTTGTGTGATGAGTTTACATGCCGCAGTTAGTTTTATTCAATTTGGTTGAAAGAGAATCAGAACATTCAAAAGAGTATACATGTATATTTGTATTAAATATGCACATGTACATAACATTTCTATGTAAGGAAAAGCTTACTATGTTTGTGATGACAGGATGATTGTGGGATTTTTAGGATGCTTTAGTAAATATCTTGAACAAACAATTTCAAAGAATGATTTACTTTTCGTGCAAAGTGCTTGCATTATAAAATCAGTGGAACTTCTGATATAATAAACGGGAACTGTAAGTAGTGCACAGGGTCCGACGAGGGAACTAATCCTTTTCCGACAGGCATTCGACCAATCAGAAAGCCGGATTAAGCCCTACGTGTCCTCGTTAGCATAAAATGATTGGGACTGTCCCATTATTAGGAAGGGTTTGTGTAAAGCAGATTTGGCCTCGGCTTATTGATGCCAGAATTTCTTACCATTTCAAATGTAAAAGACGTTCTCCTCATAACCATAACTTTAAGTGAAGGTAACTATACGAGTCATACTCATCCAATATGAAGCTGTTGGCAACGACAATATACATACACTAAAACAACACAATATATACAGTCATTTGTACGAAGTGCCCTTTCTCAAGCGAAAGACGGTCCCCCGTGTAATTTAACGTAGGCCCATCTCAAACGTCAAAAATCTGTGTATCGCTCAGAACAAACTAAAAATAAAAACGAGCACAAGCAAACTAGCTATTAAAACTTTTAAACTTTGTGTCGGTGTTTCCTTTCTGAATACTTATTCTGCGTGCATTTCAAACAGAAAATTTGCTTCGATTTTATTCCTTGCAGCGGTGGATGAATAGGCAGTGTAGCCCACCAGTGAGAGCCACATTCCTTCTGATGGCGCTTTCCAATTTGACGCCCTCATTGGTTGCCTAGGCCTCGTCGTCCGCTGGATAAGGATCTTCGTCATGGTAGGCCGGAGGCGGATGGGGACGATTCATCTCGACCTTTTCCTCGTCTTGGTACAAGGTAAGCATTTCATATCCGACCTGGAAAAGGGAAAAAGAGTACGGTGTGCCATTTTTCTCCGCAAATCCATGGCGGAATCTGACGTCTTGTTGCTGTAGCTAAGATTTTGTAATTGACATGATGTGGTGAAGCAAATGAAGATTTGGGGTGGTGCATATACGTCACGTTAGTTGCGGGCTTGCTGAGTAAGGCGAAAGCAGACCCTGTAATTCGTTCGACCCTCCGTGGCCCTCGTACTATACCGTTAACATGGTAGTTTGTAATCAGAGAAGCGTGTGCTGAACTCTGCTTTTCGTATTATGCTACACCAGGGTTTTGATTCAATCCGTGCACATTAATTTGGATATTTTTAGTTGATTTTGACCATTGTCTGTGAGTTTCTTGCGCTTGCCAACAATCTTACTGAGATGTGGAAGTTGCTCCCAGCCATAATAACAATATTATTATCGTGTCGATTCGCATGATGTTTCAAAAAGGAACTCCTGATTTGTCATTCTGCATGTCAGGGAAGAGTACAGTTTCCAATGCATCTAAACAGTTAGTTTCCAAAACCACTAAACGCTGATTTATTCGTAAAAGTCTCCCATCCAACAGCCAACGAAAAGGGGAAGGCATTACCTTGGCAGCCCGCTCTATGTCCTCCTTTCGACCACGCCCTTCTCTCAGCTCTATGTACTGAGACAGCACGCAGATGTAACAAAAGACCTAAACAGTGCCGACAGGAAAAAAAGAAAAAGGTTTCGTGTGATGATGTCAGGGTGTTGTCCTGTTCAGGCACACTGCATGACCACCCATCACGAGACAGGTGGTTTAGATTTCATCATTTGATCAAATCAGTAGGGCCTACACAAGCTTTTGCATGCGGTAGTCAGGCGAGGGAATTTATGAATTCCAAGGTTGATACCGTAGCGCTTCCAAGAACACGTGTGGATACATAAATAACTAAACTTTGGATTTGAAAATCCGCAACGTTGGTTCCAAAGCCAGACGATACCAAAACGCAATCAGCAAGTGTGGTTCCATTTTATGGATGGGGGCTGAGGTGGCTATGATGGACGTTTTGAAAAAAAGGAAGAACGCCTGATAATCAAGTAGGTGAATGTGAAAAAAGGGAAAATGCGGGGAACAGGAAGCGTTGGGTGACCTGGCTTGTTGTTACTCTCGTTTGGGCGCTGTCTCTTGTTGGTTGTGAACAAAGGATTCAAGCAGCGCACAAGTAGAGGCTTTTTTTACAGTGGTGTTTATACCCAGTGCATGCCTGCCGGCAGGATTGAAGCACTTACATTTATGATCACCATGGAGGCGTAGATTCCAGTGAACAAGAAGAAACGGTACATCAGCACGCCAACCATCATCTGTATCTGTTATCAGATCAGAATAAAGTCGTTTCAAAGATGATTGGAAATTAATTAAGTGGAATCTACTTCTACGCATTGTGAACAACAGGAGCAGCTGGAAATCACGTACACATCCCAGTCTAAAGATCTTTCTAAAGAATCGAACAGGTTGATTCTTGTTATCATTCAAATAATGTTTGGGCATGGGAGACGAATTCTTGATCCAGACTACCTCACCAACTATCATTCAAAGAAAGTGTTCGACAAATTTGTCTGTGAATCGAACAGTTCAGCCGAAACATTACGCAGGTTGTCGTTAAGAAATTAAATTTCACTGTTGCGCCATTTGCTTAAAAACGGACCTTTACGACCACAACGATGAACAGCGCACAGCAAAGTATCTCCAGAAGGATCATGATTGGTGTCACTATCATGTACGGCAGAAGGAGTAACCTGATGTCCTACAAGAGAAATAGACAGCACAGTACCCTTGAAACCGGTCAGGGAGTTGTTCAAAGAAGAGTGGTATATACTTAATGGGAGAAGAACACAAGCTGAGAACGAACAACTCTCTACTTAATTATGCCAGTAAACGGGCCAGTAAATCAGTGTCGCTCTTGAGTTTCCATGGGGGGACGGAATCTTTTTCCGAAACACTCATCACTTTTTTAATCCCTGAAATACCCCCTGAAAGGCACTTGTGCTCTTTCTTATGTAGTGGCTCTTAAAAAATTCGGTTAAAGTCTGTTTTGGGGGAGGATTTTTTTTTAGGTTCGGTTTGCTCCGGTTTGGTAAAGTTGGTTTGGTTTGATTTGATTTGGCTTAAAGAGCAGAAGTTGGCCCAGTTTTTTATGTGGCGTACACCTAAGTATGATTTACTTACTCTACGGACGCCAATTAAAAGCAGCAAGCCCGTCACCCATACCAAGCTCCATATCCCCGCACCGACACAATACACCGTGTATAAATACTGCTTCATGTTAACGATAAAGTTCCCCGATAAAGTTCCGGCAGCTCCGTTGCTCAGCTGCAGGCTGGCTTGCCCGTTGCCCAGCTGGAGGCCTTGTCCGTTGCCTAGCTTGAGGCCTTGCCCGTTGCCTAGCTGGAGGCCTTGCCCGTTGCCTAGCTGGAAGCCGGTGGGTCCATTGCTCAACTGGGCCCCTTGACGGAAAAAAATGCAAGTATGTTCTCACACCCTCCATTACTCCATGTTACGATATTTTTATTCCAAGAAATAATAATAATAATAATAAAATTGACTATTTTAAATTTAAATTTAAATACATGATGCATGTTTATTTTCTTTTATATATCTCATTTGTAAAAAAAGATTAAACAAATTTGAATTGGCGTCCACAAATTTAAATTAAGTAAATTGATTAAAATCACAAACCACCTTAAATTTGGTTTACGCCCAGGTGAAATGTACACAATGTGGCACCTACCGGTTAGACAGTTCCTTTGGAGATACAGGTACTTAATCAAGGATAAAGTGCGTACATGTACGAGTTTTAAACCACACTGTAAGCTTTGACAAAACTGGAATTCAAAGGAATATTTTTTTCCATTTTTCCCCAAACAAAAATGTTGATTTAAATCAGTGATTCAGAAAAATAGCATTTAATTTAAATCGCGATTTAAAACGGTGATTTAAATGAAGTTGTTTTAAATCGGCTAACCCGGCGTCCCTGCATTTACATTTCGTCAGTATTTACAAAGAAAGAGGTTATTAACTGACAAAATACGTAAAATGGTTTCAGGCTCTAACAACTTGGTATGTTCTGTATTTACCAATGGAACCTACCAGGAATTCAGTGCCATATGTATTGAAAACACAAAGTAGAAAAATGCTTGTGTGTAAATATATGAGTAACGAAACAAAGATGGCGTACCGTCCGGTTCATTGTTGATGATGTACAAGTTGTATACGATCCCTCCTACAAAGATCAAACTGTGGATCTACAAGTATGCAAAAAAATGCATTGAAAATACATTTATGACCTGGGATCAATTAGGTCTGACAGTGTGTACGTGTGAAGTCTACGAAGCTTCTGCAGTACTGCCAAATGAATGTGCCGTGATCTTTTGCGGGATTCCTTCGGTTTCTCCCCAATTCAAAGCATAAATGTACATTAAAATATTCTTAATAATAGTTGGAGCAGCGTTGGAAGCAAGAGTATGAAAACATGCACTAAAATGCAAAGTCGGTCGTTGGAGTCTTACCATCGTGAACACTGCGGCAGATGTGGATCCGTTGCGGACATTGCAGCAGCAACACTTCGGATTCCCTTTGGTAGCCATGTTTGTCGTCAGTGTGCTTCTGTTGGAATGAATTCAACCGACTGCATCGACTACGCAGACGCTGTGCCCACAGTACAGGTACAGGTACATGTAAATGTACATACATGTTGATGTACATGTACGTACCGTATTGACTGAACATGTACAATGGAAATTGGCCCACACCGACCGTGACGTACACAAACTACACAATGATGAGCTCAAGCAGTCCCAGCGTATTCTGAATATGGTGCGTCATAACTTTTTCATAAGCTACGTCATTTGTCCAATCATATCGCTAAGGAATGACATTATGCCGTACCTGGTTTTTTTTCTGTGTGTGTTAAATCCCTACGCATATTTTATTCTGCATATTTAAATTAATCAAATCAGTTAATAAGAAAACGGCCAAATTTCAGTGAGTCCAAGTTTTATGTGACATCAGCCATTATGCACGCTTAAATGCGTAGAACTCCGCTGGAAATGCAAATGGCAGCTCACGAAAGTACAGGTAAGCCAGACCGTCCGCGCAAGAATGCGGTACTGTTTTAATAACGTTGTGACCTTTATTAACGTTCTCATATTTAATAACTTTTTGAAAATTACATGTGATAAGCATGCGTGTGGGCCCCTGAGGTAAACTACTTTTATTTGGTTTAATCAGATGAAGAAAGTCTGTGAGGATCGGGGAATGAAAAACGGAGAAAATTTTGATGGCTTGACTTCAGGATTGCCTCTTTTGTGGTAACGGTATTTTTCCACAAGGGGTAAAGGTAGCGCGGGTCAAGTGGATTTACAGGCTACCTCCGATCTTACTCTTTACGGTGGATAAAGCCTGTCAGTTTGGAGGTATATAGGAAATCGACCGTGCAGCGATTGGCAACTCCTCTGCGGAATATTGGACATGGCCTTTACCAGGTTAAGGGTGACATTGTCTTTTGTTTAAGGCAAATGAGAATGGAGTTGTGAGGACATTAATTTCTCCCTCCCCACATCATTTTTGGGTAGTTCATTATATAACGGTATCCCCCAAAGCTATACAGAACAAGTGTGTGTATCCCTGCAAGTGTACGTGTGTGATGGTGGAAGTGTACGGTGGCCCTGGAAGGACATCACCAATCGTCAACATTGACGTCAATATTTGTGACCAAGTTCGCGACTCGTTGTATGTCCGGTCGCAAATATTGCCGCGAATTTTCAGGTTTCCGGCAAGCTAGGCGGAAATGAAGTGTTCACGCGCACACGCAATGACTTACATTTTCAGCTTGAAGTTGTTATTCGGCTGGGCAGTTTTGGCACAGCGTTAAAAAGCAATTGTTGTGTCTATAGCTGAGCAAGTTTTCTCTCTGCCTGGCTTACTGCAGGAAAAAGAATCCCGGCAATATTTGCGAAAGGAGATACTGTTCTGAATTTGATCGCAAATATTGGCGTCAATATTCGTGACTGAAGAGCAATTAACTCGTGAATTTTGGTCGCAAATATTGACGACAATATTGACGATTAACGATGTCCCTCCACAGAGAAGATAAAAGGAAATAGACATAGCCAAAGAGCAGCAAGTAATGGTAAAACAGGTATTTTATTCCCAATTAAATTATTTCAGAAATATGGATTCTTTGGATAATAAAGAATGATTGCCTTTTCTTCAGTTGCACCTTTGCAATGGTTATACTGCTAAACATTAACATTGTTATTTATGTACTCCAACCTTCAAGAAGTTGAATGGAACGTTGATTCATATACGCAGGATGCCTAGTAATTAAGATTTCCAATAAATTTCCAGATTGATCTGTTCATACACACCAAGAGGTTTTTAAGGCTGATTTTTTTTCGAGTTCCGTTAATTCCATAATGCCATGACGCCTGCAGCTACTTCAACCACAAATAGTAATGTTTGCTTTAATTTGTTATTTCTTCGAGACATTTCCGAAGGTGTTCTTTTAACTTAAGTCCCACCCTCATTCTGTCATCACAAAAATAATCCTTTTGTCATATATTTTTAAGGTCAGTGCATAAATACAGAAGTATAAAATTTGGACGTGTTTTGCAGGCCCTTCTCTGGTATAGACATGAAATAGTCATCGGCTGAGCAAAGGTCCAGTCAGCTAAAAAACAGTTAAGTTAGTAGCGCCTGGGTTGGGATGCAGTCATGGCTATTGATGGAGATTGCACAGGGAAGACGCTTTCCTGAAATTGCACAAACGAAAAAAAACATGTTGAAATAAAACAAAAGTGTTAAATATGTTAAACTTCAACATATTTGTAGAATATAAAAGGACGTACGTAGCAAAAGGAAATCTTTATCGTTTTGTTGGGGGGAGCCCATTTTACGTCGTTTTAGTCACTCTCCCAAGGATCCTTCGCTCACTGCTTTGTCTGTGCAACTTCGCTTTGATTTCAGAATGGTGATTCCAGTCAGTGAGTGACTTGACGTAGCCCTAAACCCTCGCTGAGGTCACTCAGTACAGACCTAATTTTGGAAGGTCAATCCTCATCAAGCCCCTTATCTCTGGAAGAGGATCAAGGTGCACGTTAGCAACGAAACATAGGACTAGAACGGGAATGCAAAAGTTGTTTCTTTAAGGCTTTCAGAAAGATTCTGAGAGAATCCAAATGTCAGACCCTCTAAATTTTTCGACTGGGCCGGGTTTTCTTACAGGGGGAAAAAGATTGCCTCAAAGAGCGGTGAACGAGGGCCCACTCAGTCTGTTTGCCAAAGGGACAAATGGGACAATACACGCGGGAAAATCCCTTTCTGGCACCGCAGCACCACCGTTCTTTGTAGACGCATTGATCCGGCCGAAAGTGAGCCTTTCAGCGTAGGCTCATGTGTGACCTTCAAATATTTTATGAAAGGGTATTGACAGCGCCTGAATGCTGACAACATCTGTTATGTTGAACTTCAGCATGCTTATAAGACCACAGCGATAAATGCATTTAGTTAAGATATTAACAATTCTCGCACTACATTCAGTTTAGTTTCAACTTTTGTGGCCAAACAAACCTGATCTGTATTATTCCTTTATTAGAACCGTAGGTTATAAGTCGAACCGTTTAAATTAAAACATGCAAGCTATAGAATTGAATAAGCATGAACCAATCATAATGCTCACACGTACCTGTCTGACCAATCTCGCGTCCTCCCCGTAACGCAATTCCTGGTAACGCGAGATCACACAGAGTAAACTCAGTGACTGCAATTAAATAGATCTATATTATTTTTGAGGGTCTTCAGTTGTTGGCCATTTTTTTCTTATTTTTATATAAACGGAATTTCATTTAATAATTTAAAGTGTGACATCGTTGAAGGAAGAGAACTATGTTACAGCTATTCGTTTCTACACATAAATCATCCAGGGAAGAAAGACTAGTACACTACATGTACATACATGTAGGCTTCTCTATTCAAATTGTGAACGCGGAATTTACTCATTCAAAATAGATTCTATGAAAGAGACAGCATGCTTGCTGTGCACATAAACAATCAGCAAAGGAGACAATTGTATCTAGAGAAATCTACAAAAATGCAGGACTTTCTGTGTACAAACTTATGTAACATTGGGGCTTTCGTCCTGGGATGACGCCACAGTTTTGCTCGTGAATATGGAAATGCTCATTAGCATGAAAACCAAAGAGGAAGTAAAATACCCTCTGAAATAGTGTAACAAATGTTAAAAAATCAGGCTAGCTGACACACAAGTGCATTTTAAAGTGCCGCATTCAAACAACTTGATCGCAGCTACCCTTCATTAAAGATCTCGGAAATGATTTTGATTTCTTTTTGTCAAAGCCATAACTTACGTCGAGGACAATAAATACTCCTGACAGAGAGAGTGCAGTGAGGTTGAACACGTCGTTGACGTAGCCCTCGTCAAAAGCCTATGGAAAGAAATGATTAAGACCGGTGGCTTTATTTAAGCCTGACATTTTCCTTTTGGGGCGTGGGGTTCAAGGCTAATACGATTGGGTTGGAGCCTGTATTATACGAAATTTATATGCATCCTTCTGCGGTGTTATTTTTGATAAAAACTGTTATCTATCGTGTAATATCTGTCCGCGATGCTTTTTGCATGTTATAACTACCCCTTTCCTTCCGTGACAATACGAGATCCCTGGTTTATTTATTTATTTGTTTATTTACTCCATTTCTTTACCCAGGGTATGCCCAAACAGTTTCAAGCTGGTTTCCATTGGGGCTGTGCGATCATTACAAGTTAATAAAATAGTTAGAAACTCGCAAGGAAAAGTAAAATTGACACAATACGACAAACGTTAATATTTACAAATACAGACCGCTCAAATATCATACACGTGTGAAACATTTAAATAATCATGTGTTTTCCTAGTTACAGGTAATCTTTTTTATTATTATATTTGTATATGTGTATGAATAGCACGTAAGCCTATTTCAAGAACAAAACGACCAAGGTGTAAAGTGATATGCGTTTATAGGCCTTGGCAATGTGATAACTGTGACGTTGAATAGTGGCCTGTGTGAATGATCGCGAGGCAAGCACGTGGGTGGCGCGTTGCATTGTGATAGGTTTATTTCAAAGTTCAGATACTGGGGTTGAAATACACCCGCGTAAAACAGGCATAATTTTCGGCCACAGCCGGGGTACTCTCGTGTCCCTGGCAAACAGCTACTGAAGGTGGCGGTTTCCATGGACACCAAGCGTGGCTAGGATAATTTGAGTCTTAAACAGCCATCCAAACGAGACGAATGCTTCTCAACAAGTTGTAAGCCCGCTGTACTCACCAAGATCAGGATATACAGGTAGAGAGCGCACAGAGCACAGTGAACCAGGATAGCGAGGATCGCCGCCACTATGTACGGTATGAGCAAGCCCCGACGATCCTGCAGCCAAAATTTAAAGATAACCGGAAATAATGTGTAATGGCCGACGACCTTAGTAGAAAAAATAAGCTTGTGCTGATTCTAAGATCGATTCGTAACAGGAGAAAGAAGAAACAAATGGAGTCCAAAAACAAACAAAAATAAAAAAGTAAAACCAAGAAAGGACGACCCAGTGCCCACTGATCAGTTTACCGACTTAACAACTTGATCAGCGCACCAGCCAACTGTTTTTAGACGGGTTTATATCACAATGTCCTTGCTTTTAGATTTAGAGGACCACTGATCGTTGAAACGTGCCCCCTTCCTTCCCGAGCGTGTACAATTTGAAGCAGGCGACGACCTCTTCTTTTAGAAGTGGCGTAATTTGAGCAGGTGACTGGGGATGAGGGATACGGGGGGGGGATAATTTGCCTGGTCATAGAAATTTGAATAGCAAGGGGGGGGCTGACACCACATGACTCTATAACTCTACAGATGTGCATGCATGTAATATGTATTTCCTTCATGCAGAATCTTACATCAGGACGGCGTATTTATGGCTATATTGAAACTTTTCTCCCTTTTTGAGTTCTATTGAAGACCGTTTTTTGGGTTGGAAGTCGGACAAATTTTCCACTCTCCACCATGCGTTTTCTAAACATGGATGCGGAAAAGTGCCTGGGGGAATATGACTCAATAGCCCATCCCCCACTAGTTCGATCAAGGACGATAGTTCGACTAACTCTGATCGAACGCACGCTAATCGATGATGGTTGGACTAGTCTAGACGTCAATTTGCGACCGGCCTACCAAGGTTGGTGGTGTCGCCGAGTGCCATAGCCGTTTTTAATAGCACAGTGCAGGGAAGACCACTTGGTAGAAAAAATAGTGGAACAGAGAAAATTTGAGTAAAGCGATTGTAAATTGCCATTTTCACTTTTCTTTGGTTATTTTGTCCTTCCGACGACCACGTTTTCTCCTCATAGACCTAAGTGACGTTAACAAAGGTTGACTACAGTCCTTCACACATCAACTTCATTGCACATGCGCTAGGTGCGTCATGAACCATGCCACAAGTTATCTACTCCTCTTTTATCGGACTTGCCAATGCTTTTTCCAGTGTGGTGTAACGCCCAAAATTGCCCCTTTGGGAAATTTCTAGACCCGCCGGTGCACTTTAGTACGCTCGATTACTTGTATAGTTAAAAGGAAAAAGTAGGCCTAAGCACTAATATGGGTTTGTCAAAACAAGTAAAGTCTGTATATGCCATTCTACTTACGCAACAAACTCCTGCTACCAGGAGAAAGGATGACAGAAATAAGAATACCCAGAGTCCCACACCAACGGCGTAACCGTAATAAAACGGGGCGATATCTGAAACTGAAAGAAGACACACACGCACATTCCTCATTGTATCAGACTGCGTTCCTTGCGAGAAGTCACAATGTCATTGGGATAAGATCAAGTGTTTCTCAGAAATGGACCGAGGAAGGGATAGCAAAAAGTGCTGTGGGACATGGAAGTTATGTGTACATGAGAACACCACTTTAATGTATGCTAAAAAAAACAGCGATGCTCGTGATTTTGGGGTGTATTTCTTATGTATTCTGTTCGGATAGTCACAGGGATCACCTGACTGACTTACATGATTCCGTCTGTAAAATTCCAGATTCGTACAGGTTATAGCCGCCCCACGCTGCCCAGGCAAGTGATGTCACCTGTTCACCAAGAAATTCATCTGGGGTAAGTGTGCTTTATAAACAACACTTCATCGGCCACCGTATCACAGCAAAGCAACTCTAATATACCTGTGGCATACTTATTACTCCGTGACACATCTTAACAACTTCATTGAGTACATTTTGATTTGTGTTCCATGGTGGCACTACTCAAGGCTTGTTGGCCCCTCCCCCATTCCCTTTTCCATGAGGTTGGAGGACAAAGAAGCTTTCATTTGTAGCACTGGCACACACTGCGGCCAAAGCCTGTGAACAGCATCCCTCTCCCCGAAAAGTATCTCCATAGCGAGGAAATATAGTACCCAAGTTACACCTGAACCATAGACCACACGACCAACATTGTTTCGGCAGCGAAAGCAAACCCGTTGCTAATGACGTCAACCTATGGCACCCTGTAATTTTCCTCACTGGCCGTGGACTGTGATTGAAGGCGCTGCGTATTGCAAACTGGAACTTCATGTTGGCGATTTACAAGACAGTGCGCCACCAAGAGGTTGCCACGGAGAGGTAATTATTCAAGTTTATAGTCGAGAGACTGCTACTCGAAATACACATACGAATCTTCCTCTCTTCAAAAAATCGTAAATAATTGAAGTTGCCAGCCTATGTAAGTTGTCGACCATTTCCTACAATGTACGGCGACAAAGGCCTTTCTGTGACAACGTCTTGGTGGCGCACTGTATTGTGAATCTACTGATGGCCCTTACTTTAAATGCAGCAATCTACTAAAGCCATTCTGATCTTTCCACGTAAGCTGCCCGACCCCGTCACTTCTATTTGCAATGTCTTCCTTTGCAGTTTACACCCCCTTGCATCTCTCGTAACCTTAGCTGGGCGTCACTACAGACATCTTCGATTTACCACTGAGAAGATGCCAGCCACTATGCAACCTCTCTGCAGGCCACAGCAACAACAACTCTTGAGGATGGGCATGGCGTCGCACTGTTCTCCTCTCCGCTACTCTACTCCGTCAATTCCTGGCTGTTTTTCCCCAACACAGAGCTCACGTAGGGTAACTGTAGAGATGAACAAAGGACGTCGATTCGATGTCAGTGTGAGTTAAGGTCTAGCTTATTTCTACTGTTTTAACCTGAAATACAGTCCAGTAATGTGCCCTGGACGGCTGAAAATCGACAAAGCAAGGTTTGAAAAAATAAAAGGTTGTAAAGTGGATGATCCCATCTGCTTTCGGCTGTGCAGTGAAAAGATTAACTTGAGGGCGCAATTCACCATTCACAGGAAGAATGCAGCGGTTGCATTGATCGATATTATTTGGATAAATTCAGTTATAAATAGAATGTATAAAGGGGATACGTGAGCGGTTGCAGGGTTTTGGAGGGGTGTGAAAACTTGTCGAGTGAGGCTACGCCCACATTAGGTCGTGTTCGACAAGTTTTCGGCACGGTTAATGGTCCATTGAAGCCTTCTTAGCTCTAACTAAAGATAAGGAAAGGAAAGTTAACTACAAGGGTAACCACACTCCAATTTGCGCCTGCTGCGATGGCACATTCACATTTATCATGGTCCTAATGATTCAACTGTCCAGTACAACCTATACGCTGTCCAAAATAACGAACTGGGTTGAACAGCACCAAAACCAAAATAAATGCCACCACATTTTCCGTTGGAGTTAGCCATCCTAAAGCAAGCTCTAGGTTCCAACGACTTCACAGAATCAAACATAATTGTAATTGACACAAATTTTTTGTTGGAGGTGGAATGCGAAACGAAAGACAGATAACCCCGGAGAATACTTCGTGGGAGTGTGATTGGGAGATGGAACTCCTTCATTGCCCAGAACTCAGTGTATCATGTGACGCCAAAATCAATCAAAATGATGCAGTACACTTACATTTAATGAGGCCAACCCTCTTCTGGAATTCCAAGAGTGCGTTGCGTTGTACAACGCTACAGATATGGCGTCAACTGCACGGTACGCGTGTGTTTTATGTATTATAGTGTATAGCATTGTCGATAACAGGATTCGGTTCCATTTCCTTTGCTGTGATAGTCCTTCCGTTTCCTGCTGTCAATTTAGGGAACAGGGAAAGGTATAAAGGATATCATATCTGCCAATGAATACCAGGATACGCGAATATAAGAAATTGCATCTTACTGCATCAAACCCCAACTGTTTGCACTCGTGGAGGGGGTTACTTTTGGATGGGGGTGATTCGGGTGGTTTCAAGGGGAAAAGAGACTCGACGACGCACAATCAACTGCCTTTTTTTTTTCAAATCAGGACAAAAGCATGGGATCCGCTGTTGGAACAAAAAGTGTTTAATGGTCAGTAGGCTCCGTGTGTAAGTACGCCCTCACCAGTGACAAAAAAAGAGTGAACTGATACCGGGTCGATCAGATGCGCACCCAGGAGAAAAACGTTGCTCGGATTTAACGACTGTAATTCCTTGGGCCCCCAGTTGACTGAGGCGACGCAGGTACAAGAGGGGGGGGAACTCTTACACCCACCACCATAATATGAGGATGTCGGTAACACCAATCGAACACCGTGACTTAAAGACTGTGGATAATTAAGAGCTTTATGAAACGAGTTGGGGAACCGACTTGGAACCTGAAATGATCGAACACTGGAACGCTGTACTAGTGAGATGAGTCGTCACAGCATTTATAGACAATAGATGGCGCTGTTCATAAAACCCACATCTGGCGACACAGACGCAAATTTCTCTGGTAAAAAGGAAGGGCGGGGTGCCATCCTCTCCTATCCTCAGTTATGATTTGGTAAGTGTAGAAGATTCCTGTGTCATTCCTGTGTAAGTACTCAAAAGAGACCTTTTTCATGTTACTTTCGCTCCAATTAAAGCAACTTTACGATAAAGTAAACCACTTATGAATCTTTGACTTTAAGCTACTTTTACAATGAAACATCACCTTTGATTGACACTTGCGAACGAGGTCAGTATCTACTAAATTAAATCTCTTTAGATTATCTTCCTTAAAATGTTAATATCGACTATAATTTTGGCTTAATCGTATGGAAAATGATACAGAGTGGGTCAGTGGCAGTGTAACACAAGTGTACAACAGTTGGAGAACCTCGCTTCCGAGCAAACCCTAAAGGACTTCTTTTTGGCCCCAAAAATACACAGCACGAAAACCAAACACCAAGAGATGAATGTGGGAACGGTGACTTCTTGCGGTCAATTTCAAAACGCATACACCGATAGCACTCCAGCCTCATAAGTCTCCGCGGGGAGTCGAGGAGACGTTACCATAATAAGCATGCACAAAGCGCGCCAGAAAACAAACCTGAACCGAGGGCTGTGACGGCGACAGTGTTGCAGTCGGGATTTCATGTCTGCTGCCGGATTTTCACCCACGGGACCTACGTGAATTTCAAGGAGCCCAATTTGACTTGCATCAGGACTTTCTGTCTTGGGGCAAAGTTGAGCCCCGATAAATATTTTGAGGGGCGAGGAGGGAGTAATGTGATGTCCATTACCATGCTTAGGAAGTTCGGGGAGGGGGGAAGATGGAATTGGTCGGTGATCATTATTTTTCAAGCTTGCTATGTTCCTCATATCCTGTAATTTCTGAGCCTTCAAGTGCATGGGGAAGGCCGGGAGGGTTAGAACCTCAGATCTTCAAAACAAACAAAACTAACCGCATTCAACAATTACCATCTACTCAAGTTACAAAGGGAACGAAAGATATTCGAAATATTGGCTCGAATCACAAATACGCGCTGTTGGCATTTTTTGGGGGGGGCACAGTAGCGTAGCTAGGATTTTACTAGTGGAGGGCACAAAGGGGACACCATCATCTTATAGGGGGCACCAGCTTTCAGTGGTGTGTTTTGGGGGCAAGTTTTTGTTAGCCTTGTTCAATATCCATTCATCCGTTTTTTTCAGTGGGGGCACCCCAAATTTGTGGGGGGGGGATACGTGCCCCCAGCCCCCCCCCGGCTACGCCACTGGAGCGGGGAGGGGACTGGAAGGGCATGTCCGGAGGGAACCGCACCCCAGATGCATTACTGTAATGTGAAGAGGAAAGGACGATACTGGGGACCAATCTGCGTCGTTCCCAGAGTGTATGTAAAACATTCTCACTTTATCCTGATTAGATCAGACCTGATCAGAAACAGACATAAATCTTCATATCCCCGACTACTAATCCCCCAATTTGGTTCTTGATCTGTCCGTGGGTGTTGCGCAAACCTTAATTAACTCACCCACGCTGATTTTAATGAACACTGCAAAATGAAACTCACCTGATGCTACCGGACAAAATATCACTCATTTTGATTGTTCGGAACAATTCACAAAGAAAATGCATCCAAGACCTTTACGTGAGTCTTGCTATTATCAGTTGCTCACGCCGGTGAGTTTTTTACGTTTGGGGGTGTTTTTTGGTTGTTGTTTTTATTGTTTTTTTGTCAACGTCCGTTCTACAAACTCGGTGTGGACAAGCCAAATAATGCAAACATTACTGCAAGACTGACTTCCCCCAGATACGTTGACATATCCAAGACATTGACAATCTCTACCGAGGAGAACCACGCTTCTCATCTCGGTCTCTGCTCCCGTAAGCCCCGGGCTGATGGGTGGAGGACAACACTCGACCCCCCTCCATTCCTCGGGGCTGACTGACTGTGTTGCGGCTTCCATCCCAAACCCTCCGTTCGTGAACCTACCTTTCCCTGTAAATCTATCTAGAAAATCGGATTAGAATCAGGCAATTTAGCGACGGGGACCGCAGCAGCAAGTCTCGACCCCACGGGCGCGTTGCCGACTCTTACCCGGACCCCCTCGAATATATTGCATTTTGGCCTGTATCGGAGTTTCCTACTGTATTCCCAAAGGCGCACAGATTCACATGCAGAGTCGAAAGTGCAAGCTGAGTGCTTCCAGCGGACTTCTGAAAGTGTTTTTTTTTTTACATTTGACGTCAAGGATTAAGATGGTTGCGATCACTTTTCTACAAGTCGAGACAAGAAAAGACTCGAACATTTGCTCTAATTTCACTATGAACATCTAACAAAAGAAGCACAGTGCAATAACAAAGGACGCTCATTGTTAGTCCACTGTGTTTCTTTTGTTAGATATTCTAATGTTTGTAGGCTTCTCTTTTACAACAAAAACACGATCTTGAAAATGTAACGCCGTAATGACTTAAAGGGTCTAAGCGCTGAATTTTGCTAAGGTATGCTGTTTGTACAACTTTGTATAGTGGTATTGTCTATCTGCCATCTTGCATCTAGCGTTGAGAATTTCGAGAGTTATGTTTAAGATCTCGAATCTGGCATGAAGTTTCAAATCTCACTACTCGCGTTAAATGTGATCCGACCCGAGCGGAACCCAGAGAGGGCGCGCTTTCCAAGTAACTGACAGTGCAGTCCACTAAATTCAAACCCATTGAAAAACAGTGTTAAATCAGCATTGTTCAGGGCCCATTAATATGTATGCTGACACCCCTGGGGTTTCTGAAACACAAATTAAATTATTGTTTGTTCCCTAATCTTTTAATTTCGTTTCAGGATTTCTGTGGGTTAACCAATTACATTTTTTATTTTTCCCACAAAACAAAAACACCCCGAAAATTGATTTTTCCGAAGTCTGCTTGCAGCCATTTTTCAAGTGGCAGCCCTCATTTTAACAGGCACTTAGGACCATTTTGCAACCGTAGTTTTATCCCTTCTGCTCTCACCTGGAAGCCTAAAGACCCAGGGAGTTGATCCCGGCAACGATTTACACAATCTCACCATTTTGGGGGCCACACAAGCTCCTTTTCAAATAATACTGTTGAGGGCACATTTAATGCTAATGAGTTGGCCAGGAATTCTCACTTGAATCAGTGGACTGCACCCCGGAGGCTCCTGAGGTAGGAACTCCACTTCGCTGGTTAACAAACATTCTGAAGTGCAAGTTGCGTCACTACCAACAAAATGAACACTTCCCACCAAGACGGCTCTTTTCAGCCGATGGGAGACTGCTTCTACTCGAAGCGGATACACGGCTAAACTCCGATGTCTTGTTGATTGCCTTTTAACTGTCTTTTAATTGATGACATTGGGCTTATCATAAGCATTTTTATATTGCTTAATGGCAAAACACTGGGAGGTTGATTACATGGCCCATCCTCCTGCCAAAAATGGGGGTGTATATCCCCCCTCCCGAGGGGTTTGCATCCCATGCTATGTACCTACTCTGTCATCGCTGTTTGCGACGTTTTTTGAGTAATATCAGGTGATTCGTTTAGCATTGTGTTACATTTTACGCGAGGTGCCACACGAGATAAGGTTCGAAACTGCACTCGAGATTCGTAACGCGAGATGCGAGATGACACATATAGAACACCATACGTCATACTCCTGCGTGTGAAAACTACTTGAGCTCCCTTTTGGGTTAATTGTGTTGAAAGGTGCACTTTTTAAACATTCACACAACTGAGGGCGTTGTTGCTGTGATGTCAATCAGAAAAGACCACAGATCTGATACACGCCTCGGGGAAGACACCGTAGGTTTTTTCATTGAAATTGGGTACCAAAATTTGCCGATATTAAAACAGTTATGAAGAGGATTGTTAAGTAGGTGATTGTCACTCATGTACGCAGCAATATTCACCAAAGAAAACGGACTTTAGGACAACAAAATATGAAACATTCTACAATTGGGGGGACTTTATTAGTGTAACATTGAGGTTTCTTCCTTGAATGACGTCACAATTTTGCTCATGAATATGGATCCATCTGCATACGAACAACAGGCACAAAAAGTACCTTACAATAGCAATATTAAAATCAAAAATAATGTTCATGGAGACCAAAGGTGTATTTTGGTTGTATTAAAAAAAGGGTTTGCATGAACCTTTTTTCGGCTCTGAATATGCTCTGAAAAAGCAGTGTTTAATTATCATTACACGGAGTTGCATGAACATCGAGTGTAATCTTTATAATGCTGTAATGATCCTGTGTTCACACAATGCCAGGATCTTTGCAGTGTTGTATGAAATAGACGGCTGTTTGTTTCCCTGCCGTTCTCTCTTATAGAATTACAGCTCTGATCATTTCCCGTCGATACGTAACTTATACAGCCTTCGCTTCTGCGGTCTAGAATCGCCGATATTTCATCCTGGCCCGCGAGGAAACAACTTCGATTTTTCAAAGATTTCCTGACACATTCATCACAGCTGGCCGAGCTCCTCTGTCATAACACAGCGGTCCGCTGACCAGTCGCTGGCTTTAATCCCTTCTGCAGACGGCGCCTGCAGCATCGCGGACATGTTTGTGCGCGTATTGGATGCGTGTCATGTGTGCAGGCCGTATTTCAAGTCATA